AAGTGTACCGGAAAGCTCCATACACTCTTTACGGAACGTTTTGGAAGCGTTGTCGAAGTGTTAATCAATGAAGTGTGCGAGAAGTGTATCGGAAAGCTCCATACACTCTTTACGGAACGTTTTGGAAGCGTTGTCGAAGTGTTAATCAATGAAGTGTGCGAGAAGTGTATCGTGAAGTTCCATACATTATAACGACTACGAACTCGGGCGCGGGGCCTCGACCCGTCGTCGCCGTCGTCGGAATCGACGTACTCTGGAGCGCGACGTTCGCTCCCAGCCACCGGCCTCTGCCGGACTCCGTCCGCTCGAAATCGCGAAGCGAAACACCGAATTAATGGGCGCCAGGTGCGGAGAAGGCCGCACCACCTTATTTCCCGTGTCGGGCGGACTCCGGCAGAATCGGCTATCCCGGCGGGGCCGACCAGCTCAGCCACTCTAACCTTGGCAGAGGGGCGCGGTTCTTACGCGGCAATAAGGCCCGTCGACATTACGGACCGGGTGACCCGGGTAAAGCTCTACGGGACGGGAAGGGTAAAATTAAAAGGGTGAGGTAACCTCAGAGCGGCACCAACGGTGCATTTTTCATCATGGGCTACCCTTCCCCCCGATAACAATCACAGGACGGAATACGCGGCGGAGAACCGCCGAACGACGGAGAGACGTAGGACGCATGAACGGGACGACGTAAGGACGGGACCACGTAACGGGACAGAAGGGGGTCACGATACCGAGGACGGGAGGACGTGAGAGACGAAAGACGAAGAGGACGAAAGGACGCAAAGACGAAAAGACGCAAAAGACGGAAAGACGCAAAAGACGGAAGGACGCAAAAGACGGGAGTTTACGCGAAGTAGGCCGAGGGTCCTCGGCACCCGGTATATGTCTCCATTCCGGCGCGACGCGTGGCACGCAGCAGCCGCATGGGTCCGCGCGTGATCACGTGAACGCCGCGTGCGATTCTGAGGTGCGCGAGACGCGCAACGACACGGCCCTACGGTACGCAACGCGAAGTACTCGATGCAATTAGACGGGACGCAACACGAATTTCCCCCAATACTCGCGATCTCACGGAACGCGACGCGAAATACACTGAGCGCTTAATTAGACGGCACTCGACACGAAATACACGGAACGCATGAGGAGACGGTACGCGACACGGAATGGCGGCCGAGCGGGCGCGAGGATGTAATCGCGCGAGCGGTACGAGACGGCGGGTCACCCGTAGGTGGCCCGCTACCTGGACACGGCGATCCCTGGTCCGCTGCGGAACGACGGTCAGCCGCTGGTCCCCTGGGTTCGGCTCGGCTCTCTCCAGCTCTCATTCCCCGGCTCCTTCAGCCACCAAGAGCATCCGCTTCCGCTCGAGTCTGCCACCACTGTGTGTCCCCACGGCGCGAGGCCCGCGACGGCGGGGAGATTCCGCCGCGCGGGCCTTATGAAATCGCGATTATCTATTAGTCGCCGCCCGATCTTCTAAATGTCCGAGGGGCCCTTTGGCCTAAGGCCCTTCAGGCTTCCGGGGCTCGCCTGGCCAGGGCGAGCCAGTTCCTCAAGACGGCCTATGTCGGCGTTCTAGGCGCCGGGCTCCCGCCGGGCCGCCCCGCCCGCGGAGACCGATCTCATGAAAGCGCGAAAGAAAGAGGTGAGGTGGCTAAGCCGGTCGGTCAACCCCACGCGATCGCCAGCCGGGACGGGCACCCCTGTGCCACGTCACAACCTCCCCCTCCCCGAAAAAGACCGAGGGACGGTACGCCACAAGTGTCGCCCGATCCCGCATCAACGAAGCCATACGTCCTCCTACCCCGGAGCCCGGTAAGACTTAAGATGTCCGATATGGACTTTTCCGGCTGGAGCGCCCTGCAAATCTGAAAGCTCATACACAACCGGCGACAATACTTTCGAAACGCGAAAGGGGCCATGGAATTTCGGGACAAGCTTCGCAGCGACATTCTTCGTCGCCGACGACAGCACGTGCTGCCGCTTCAACACAAGATCGTTCACCCAGAAACGTTCGTCACGCCTACGTAAATTGTAATGGTGCGCCTGTCTCTCGTGAGCGCGCGCCAGGTTCTCCCTGACCCAGTCGTACAGGGATCGCAACCTGGTCATCCGTTCCGACCACTCCCTGACATCCGGTACCTCCAACTCCGCCTCCGCCACAGGAGGCCGACCGAGACAGCGGGCAGGAGCCAGCTCTCGCCCAAAATTCAGGAAGGCAGGAGATACGCCTAAAGACGAATGATAGGCCGTATTATAGGCGAAACGGAAATCTCGTAGATGGACGTCCCAATCACGATGGTCTCGCTTCAAGAACGCCGTAATCATAGTCTTGAGAGTCTTGTTGACCCTCTCCACGGGGTTCGCTTGAGGGTGGTATGAGGGCACCGTAGTATGTTTGATTCCCCTCTCCTCCGCAAACTCCTCGCGGATCGTACTGTTGACGAACTCTGTGCCGTTATCCGTGAGAAGGCACCTCGGAGTTCCCCATCGGGACGTGACTAGTTCCTCCAAAGACTCTCGGATATTCTTCGCATTCGCTGCTCGCAGGGCACGACACTCGATCCACTTGGTAAACAGGTCTTGTATTACCAAGAGGTACGCGTAGCCGGCACGACTACGCGGCAGCGGTCCCATGATATCCGCCGCCACCACCGTCCAGGGTTGCTCAACCGTGCGAGAGCCCATCAGTCCGGCAGGCGCACGCTGTTCGACCTTCGTCCTCTGGCAAGTGTCGCATCGCCGAAGGTATGCCGTGACCGCGCGAAACATACCCGGCCAAAAGTAGCGGGTGGCGACTCGATGGTAGGTCTTCTCCACTCCCAGATGGCCGGCCTGGGGATCCTCGTGGGCCTCCGCCAAGGCACGAGCTCTCAATTCCGAGGGTAGTACTAATTTCCATTGATCGAGGTCCCTCATTATTTCCGAGACTACCGGCCGGGGTCGTCGAATATAGAGCTGCTCGTCGACTATTCGCCAATCCCGGAACTGAGCGGGATGCTCCGAAACCTCCTGGTACCGGCGAAGGTACCACTCATCCGTCGTGTACTCCCTCTGCGCTACCGCGACCACTCCACCCGACTCGGGGGGGCGAGTCTCCTCGTAAGCTCTCGACAGCGCGTCCGGCACGTGATGCAAAGCCCCCTTCCGGTGGACGATCTCATAGTCATATTCCAGAAGTTCGAGGGTCCACCGGGCCAGACGTCCGGTAGGATTCTTAAGGTTGTGCAGCCATCGCAGACTGCTATGATCTGCGCTCCGTTTCCGTCAGGGCTCGACTGGCGTACGCTATCACATGTTCGACGTCGTCCGTGGTTTGAGCCAGCACTGCACCGATACCGACGGAACTAGCATCCGTCTGTAAAACAAAAGGCAGCGTAAAATCAGGCCGCGCCAATATGGGCGGTGACATCAACAACGAACGGATCTTCTCAAAAGCTGAGTCTTGGTCGTGTTCCCACTCCCAGCGCCGACTCTTCTTCAACAGGCGCGTCAGTGGTTCCGTCACGGACACAAATTGCGGGATGAACTTCCTGTACCACGAGGCCATTCCGAGGAAACGCCTCAACTGCTTGATGTTAGTGGGCCTCGGGTACTCCAAGATGGGTTGCGTCTTCTCGGGGTCGACCGTCAAACCATCCCGCTGAACCAGGAATCCCAAGTATTTAACTTGCGGGCGGCAGAATTCACATTTTTCCGGATTGATGGCAAGTCCGGCAGCTGTAATCCTGTCCAAGACCTTCAGCCACGACAGATGCTCCTCAAAGGTGGGCGTAGCAACCACGATATCATCTAAATACGCGAAAGCGTACGGCTCCATCTCCGGACCGATGAGTTTGTCCAACAGGTGCTGAAAGGTGCCAGGGGCCCCCGTCAAGCCGTACGGCATACGGGTAAACTGGTAATGCCCCATGCCTGGTACACTAAAGGCCGTTTTCTCACGACTATCCTTCGCCAACGGGATCTGGAAATAGGCTTGACTTAGATCCAGCGTAGAAATATACTTAGCAGCGCGCATCTTATCCAGGATTCCAGTCATATTCGGTAGGGGGTAGGCATCCTTCTTCGACACGGCATTCACTCGTCGAAAATCCAGGCAGAATCGATATTTGCCGTTCGCCTTCTTCACCATGACGATAGGATTCGACCAGTCACTGTACGACGGTTCAATTACACCAGTCTTCAACATGGCATCGACCTCCTCGCGGATGGCCTCCTGCACTTTAGGTGACACCAGATAGCATCTCTGCCGGATGGGGGGATGTTGGCCCACGTCAATGTGATGCTCGGTCAGGGTCGTAACTCCGAGACCGGTCACAGCCTTCGGTAGCTGGGCACTCAAGAACTTGGCCAGCTCCGCTTCCTCGTCCGTAGAGTCCTGCGCGGCTCCGCATCTACCCCGAAAGGCCTGCTCCTCCCCTTCGAAACCGAAAGCAACCGCAGGATCATCCGCGAAACTCCAACGGAGATCCGCCAAATTCAAAAGGATTCCAAACGCGTGCAGGAAATCCACGCCGACGATCGCCGGAACCGATAAGCGGGGCATGAGCCACACCGCCAACGTTCGCCTCCGCCCCTCTAATTCAATCGACACGTCCACTTCTCCCTGTGATTCCATGAGTTCACCATTAGCTGTCCGTACCCCATAAGTACGATCTATACGAGTCCGCAAGCCGAGCCGATGCACGATCTCGATACCTGGCCACCCCAACAAGGTCCTATTCGATCCGGTATCCACCAACGCCCACAGATTCAGTCCATTAACGGAAAGGTGAAAGTAGCCAAGGGGCGGTCTCCCCTTTACGGGAAAGACTCCGTAAGCGCAGCCACCAAGGCTCCTTCCCCGACCATCCACGCAGGCCGTCTCCGAGACTCCGGGAGGCGCTGAGGCCTGGTTCACGCGCTCCCCTGTTCGTTTCCTGAGCAAACGGGACAAGTCCGTACGGTATCGCCCGCTCGACCACAACGGTAACAATAGACTCGACGGTCCTCGGTACATTCTCGTGCCAGATGCCCAATCTTCTCGCAGTTCCAACACTTGCCTTTGCCGGAAGAGTGGGACGCAGCGACAGCGTCCGCGCTCGAGGCACTCCTGGCCCCCTGGGTCCCTCCAGCCGGCGGGACTCCAGACCGCGAGCCGGAAGCCCTGCTCCCCTTACGTCCATTCGCCGGTGCGACGGCTGCCGCAGCCGCAGCTATTCGGGTGTTCTTCTTGGGCGGCCGGTAGGCCAGGTCCGGAAACAACGAATTCTCAGGAGTCGGCGGCGCTCGGTAGTGCTTAGCGGCAAGACAAGCCCGCTCATAACGAGTGGCGAGCTGTTCGAGGGCGCGAAAGTCCCGCACCTCCTCGCGATGTATAGCGAGCTGCACCCGCGACAACATGTTCCGCAGTGCGTGGTTGAGCTGCTCCTCCAGAGGCCAAGGCGGAGTTAGTCGGTCGAACATCGCCGCCAGACAAGTCAGATAATCCGCCACCGCTTCCTGCTCACCTTGAGTCCGCTTCATGATCTCCTCTCGCAGCGCGTACTGGAAATCCGTGGCTCCAAAGCGTGATCGCCACGCGGCCTCAAAGCCGGACCACGCGCGAAACTGAGCCTTGTTACGCCTGAACCACTGGAGCGCAATTCCCGACAAGAAAAACGGCAGACACTTAAACAGCTCTTCATCGGGGACAGGAACCAAGGCCCGCCCCTCCTTTAGCCGAACCAAAAACTCCTCGGCGTCATTTCCGCGCGCCCCCTTGAAGTTCAAATTCCAGCGGCGCATAACGTTGTACACGTCCTGCGCCGAAAACCGAGCCGAACGGGAGTGTCGATTCCCGTCACCCGGGCCCGTCAGAACGTCACCAGGGTCCGTCTCCGCCGGTGGAAGCTTCGCTCTTAGGTCCGCCAAAATTTCGGCGCTCACGCCCGTGGGAATCGCCTCAAGCCCCTCCCGGAGGGACTTCTCATAACGCACCAGTCTAGCCCGGAGGGTCGGCAAAATGCCCTCCGTAGACAAACCTCGCACACGCAACTGTTCCTGTGCTCCCTCCAACGAGAGGGCCTGCACCCACGCGTCGGGGTCCACCTCGCTCATTTCGAAGTGTAGCAAAGTCCGAACGGCAACTCTCCGCACGCGCTACCGATACGCGAGATACACCCGATAGGTGGGCGAAATATACAGCTCAACGATACTCCCGACCGCGGAATGGCCCCGTACGCTGGCACGCACGTATTTCCCGGGACGACACGATAATACAAATAATCACGAGAGATCCGAAATTCCAAGGCTCAATAATATCCGCGAAGTCTTACCGGCTCGATGAAGGTTTCAAAGTTTTCGTACAGGCGTTTATATTCCACCTTCCCCAATCACTCTCATGGATAGCGTTTGGCTCCGTTCACGCGTATAATGGTCACGACGATAAGCAAGCGAACGCTTGGCACAAGTACAGGGTGTATCAGGACGATACAGAGCGGTATGACGGGTTGCGCGTCTGCCGGCATCAGGGGCACGCTGCGTAGTCGTTAATTATATAAGCTGACATTACCGACTTATCGAGTAGGTCGCGCGCTTTTCTCTCTTAATTGTGAAAAAATATTGATAAAAACGTTAAGCGCGAACATTCTTGTATTAAAAATATCTTTATTTTTTAAATGTTTAATATTCAAATGAGAGTATACATATAGTGTTAGACAGAGATAACTTGCAAACATGAAGAATTTGTATAGT